TATATATATATATATTTGTTTTCTGAGGTTCTCGTGGGTATTAGTATGTGGATCTTTGGTTATTCGGGTTTTCTCCCGCGTAAGATTGGAAGTATCTAGGCAACGTTTCGATGAAGTCTGAAGAAGCCTGAAGATGATGAATGAGACTTCATCGAAACGTTGCCTAGATACTTCCAATCTTACGTGGGAGAAAACCCGAATAACCAAAGATATCTCTCTCTATATCTATCTATCTATCTATCTATCTATCTATCTATCTATCTATCTATCTGTCTCTGTGTGTGTGTGTTTTCTTAAGTTTTTGCGGGTATTTATATGTATGGTATTCAGCTTTGTTCGGGTATTTTATATATATGTATTAAAGTTGTAGCTACAACTTTAAAAGCACAACTATAATGATGTGGGAAAATACCCGAACAAAGCTAAATACCATATATATACATACATACATACATACATACATACATACATACAAATTTTGATCACATGAAAATGGAGACACTACAGTGGTCTTAAGTGTGAAAAACAGCCGTAAGTCACTTTTTTCAGTGCCGTTGTAACTTTGAGTGGCCACTAAATAAATGGTTGTAAATCGAGGGCTACCTGTACTACCATACTTCTAAAAACAAGACTGGAGATAGGATGAAAGAAGGGTGACAACTTGACTAGACGTTATCTCACTGGCTTCCATTATATATCTTACCAGCACTGGGTTGTGTGGTGTCACATGGCTCAGGATTCAGCTGCTTAGTTTTGGACTGAGACACATTTGGAATAGTTTCGCTGTCCATGGTGCTGGGAACCATCTTCCTGGATGGTTCCCCTGGAAGTGCAACTTCTGCGGGAGGACTTTTCACCAACGATGGAAGACCTGAGTCATTAAAGCTGTAGGAACCTGAAGGTATTTCTCCTTCTTGAGATTCGGGTCCATCCTTCACGTTACCATCTAAAGACGGAGAATAGGACCATGCTGGCTTTGCTGAAGAAGATGGACCGCCTAAATAATTGACTTCATTCTCATTGGCCTTAACCGAGTTGGTGTCTAACAAACTGAACTCCCCAAGTTCTTTGCCCTCACGCAACTTGAGTTTCGCCAGACGTTCGTTTTTATTTACGCTGGAGGAGAACCTGACCTGCTTTAGTGAGTTTGGAGAATGGTCTTCCCCTGGGGTAGGGCTCTTCTCTGCCACATCTTCAAGGATGGGGGAGGTTGGCAACCCGCTTTTGTTAGGTGGCTCCAAGGCTTGACTGAGACGCAACACTTCAGAATCTGTGGAACTTGAACTAGAGCTTCGTTTCAGGATGCTCTTGGGTGTCCGTCCTTGGCCATTGACCTGCTTGATCCTTCTAGGTGCTTTGGGTAAGGAATCTTTATTCTGCAAGCTTTCATCAGAGGTCTTGTGGATGTTCTTCCTAGCTTTGGGTACAGGCAGTTTTTCTGTCTGCCTAAATGTTGAAGAAGGTTGTTCACATGCTTCTGCTACGCTGTAGTTGGGTAAATTTACTCTGGGTTTGTTTTCTACGGAAGGTAAAAGAGTGACTGCAAAAAATGACACATACACACAGAAAGAGAAGGGGAGAGAGGGAGGGAGGGAGGGAGGGAGGGAGGGAGGGAGGAAGGGAGGGAGGGAGAGAAAAAGAGATACACACACATACAAAGAAAATTTTATAAGCAAACTGCAGATAAGAACTTGGACATTTCAACCTTATGGACTTCAAGTCCCAGAATTCCCCAGCCAACCATGCATTATGATAGGTCTGGAAAAGAATTGATGCCAACATGTCATTAAATACTTTCTAAGGGTGCAAAGTCATGCTGCTTAAGATTTAAGCTTATTCTATAGGAATAAAATCGGAATTATTTTTCTATCTCATATAGTAACTAGCTCGATAGCCGTGCTTCGCTATGAAACTATGTGGTCGGGCTTAGTTTTGGGGGAGGAAAATAAGGGGGGAAAATTCTGCCTCTGCCTATCAGCATCCATCGGTATTCATCTGGCTAGCGTCTTGTCAATGTGTTAGAGAGTTCAGGGCTGTTTGGAAACTGAAACAGGATTTGCTGTGTGAGCAAGAAGGAGACAGCAAGGAGCCTGGGCGTGGCTTAGCTCAACTGTTCTGTACTAAACCTGGTTGCTGCTGTGAAAGTAAAACTGAAACTGAAACTCCTCGGTTCTGTTTGTGTTTTGCATTTGGAACAGATTTCTTTTCAGGTGGGGAGGGGGAGTAGAACTTCTTAGCGTCCAAGTGTGTTAATAATAATTATAATATTTGAAATACTAATGCTGTGATGGCCATTTCCAAAAATCCTTTCTTAGTGAGCACTTAGAAGCCAAGGGGAACATATGTGCCAAATTTCAAGTTTGAAGACTTTATGGTTCTGGAGATTTTGTGATGATGCGTGAGTGGTATTTCGCTTTTTTATATATAGATAGTAAAGGCAGAGGCAGTTATAAAGTGATGGTTTTAGTAACTGCGTACACCCAGGAAAATTATAGAAAAGAGCTCAAGCTATTATTTATTTTGCTAGTTTTCCAAATGCAGGTGAACTATTCCAGATAACAAATAACAGATAATCAGAGTTGGAAGGGACCTTGTAGGTCATCTAGTCCAACCCCCTACCCAAGTGGGAGACCTTACACCATTTCTGACAAATGGCAGTCCAATCTTTTCTTGAAAGTCTCAAGTGATGGCGCTCCCACAACTTCCGAGGGCAAGCTGTTCGATTGGTTGATTGTTCTCACTGTCAGAAAGTTTCTCCTTATTTCCAGGTTAAATCTCTCCTTGTTCAGTTTCCATCCATTGTTCCTTGTCTGGCCTAAAGGCACTTTAGAAAATAGCTTGACCCCTTCCTCCCTGTGGCAGCCCCTCAAATATTGGAAGACTGCTATCATGTCTCCCCTGGTCCTTCTCTTTACTAGACTAACTAAGCCCAGTTCCTGCAACCGTTCATTGTATGTTTTAGCCTCCAGTCCCCTAATTATCCTGGTTGCTCTTCTCTGTACTTTTTCTAGAGTCTCAACATCTTTTTTATAATGTGGTGAACAAAACTGGATTCCAGGTGTGGTCTTACTAAGGCTTTATAGAGTGGTATTAGTACTTCCCTTGATCTTGATTGTATCCCTCTGTTAATACAACTTAGGATTGCATTAGCTTTTTTGGCTGCTGATGCACACTGCTGGCTGGTTGTCCACTAAGACACCAAGATCCCTCTCACAGTTACTGCTATTGAGCCTGGTTTCACCCAGTCTATATGTGTCCTTTTGGTTTTTCTTGCCTAAGTGTAGGACTTTACTTTTCTCTACACTGAATTTCATTTTGTTAGATATGGCCCAGTGGTCTAGTCTGTTGAGATCCATCTGGATCTTGAGCCTATCTTCTTGGGTGTTGGCTATTCTTGCCAGCTTAGTATCATCAGCAAATTTGGTAAGTTCCCCTTCTATTCCCTCATCTAAGTCGTTAATGAAGATATTGAAGAGTGCTGGGCCTAAGACGGAACCTCGTGGCACCCCACTGCTTACTTCTCTTCCCTTCAATACAATCAATCTGCTCGTCTGATTTTGCTGCATTGTGCTATGGCTAGGCCTCAGATCAATAAAAAAATATCTGATTAAGGTTTGTTAACTGGCACATGGAAAGCCAGTTCAATGTAGCGGTTAAGGCACCAGGATAGAAATTGGGAGATTGACTCTTTTGGTTTTTCTTACATGTATCCATTTCATGTATTCATAACTATGTTTATGCTTATACCTATTATCTTGTAAGCGATTGACAAATCAAATAAATAAATAAATATATAAAAATAAATCCTGAGTTCTAGTCCTGCCTTAGGTACAGCTCTGAAGAAGCTTCTTGGATGAGAAGCAAAACGCCTTCAAAGAAAAACCAGACAGTCCAGTTGCCTCTTGAAAAAGCACCTTTGGGACAACCATGAACTGGATGACTGAGAAACTCCACAGACATTTAGCTTTGGGAAGTGTGTCGTAAGCAGGGGGTGGGATTCTACCGGTTCAGACCAGTTCTATAGAACCGGTTGTTACGATTCTGCACACCTCGCTACCTTACTGCTCCATCCAGGAAACTTCCCCGAGGCCCAGGAGGTAAAATTGGAGCACGGGGGGGAGTGCTGCAAAAAGAAGAAGAAGCCATGCCCACCTAGTCACATGACCACTCCCACCTAGCCATGCTCACAGAACCGGTAGTAAAAATATTTGCATCCCACTCCGGGTCGTAAGTTCAACCAGTCGCTAAATGACCAGTCTTGAGGACTATCTGTATTAGCATTTGATGAGCAACATATAAGCAATAAACAACAACACTGTATAATTTGTACAAGTGTATAGAGACAGAAGCTGTCTTCATATAATTTTGTTCTGTGCAATTTTGCCCATTATTTGCAAACCCCACCCTGCAATTCCACATAGTATGTTTGCTAAACAACTTTGTAATGTAGCACTTTTTTATGATATCAAAGCATACTGTAATATTTGTTCAAGGTTTTGGTTATTCTATAAAAACTGTTCAGATTATTTTTTTAAAAAAAAAATTCACCTTCCTCTGTTGCTTCTGATGAATCAGTCATTCCATTTTCAGGCTGTTCAGTTTTTGCATTATCTTCTGATCCAGTTGAGTCATTAAACGGATTTTTCCTTTGCTGGAACGATTTAATTTACATGGTTTAAAAACATGGAAAGAAAGAACAGCAGAGAAAATAAAGATCTCCAAATGCTTTCATATCTCTTCACTGGCCACCCTTCAAAGGAGTTTGACAACATCCCTGATTTAGAAGGATAAAAGTCGGCATTAACTAAGAATGACTGTTATTTCTTTTTAATTAACATAAATCTTACTCCATTCATTAAGACTTGCTTCCATTTAAGATGCTGTTTGTCATAACGGAAATTAAAAAACCGCTCGGTCTTGCGACCGAAAAAGGAGAAGAAGAAGTATAAAAGAGAGAGAAAAAAACAAACAAACAAAGAGACGAAAGGAAAAAGAAAATACATTAAAACCAGACAAATATTCTTTTTGACAGTCTACAAGATCCAATTCTCCTACCTTACTTTAAATATACACATCTTATCGCTATTTATGGATATTTATGCTTATTTATGCTCATTAAACAGTTTATCTCTGATAAAACCAATTATACCATGCATTCCAATTATTATCAAATGCTGAAGACTCTTTATTTTTAAGAGCTATGGTTAAATTGTCCATTTCTGCGCAGTCACATATTTTCTGAATGACCAATTGATCTGTAGGTAAACGGGATGATTTCCAGCATTGGGCAAATGCTAATCTGGCCGCAGTTAGAATATGAATTATTATGTATTTCGTCTTTTTAGGAAAATGTTTATCAGAGATCCCTAGTAGGAAGAACTCTGGTTTGTATTCAATTTGATCTTTGGTTATCTCCTCCAGCCATTTTCTAATTTTTTGCCAGTATTTCTGGGCTTCTTTACAGGTCCACCACATATGAAAGTAGGTTCCCTCTATGTTTTTACATTTCCAACATTTTGGACTAGAGTTTGGGTTCATTTTCGCTAACCTCGAAGGGGGTAAGTGCCATCTATATAACATTTTATACATATTTTCTTTGTACGCCGCAGATTTCGTAATCTTAATGATTCTATTCCAGATCTTTTCCCATTCTGTTAATGTAATGCTTCTTCCAATATTCCTACTCCACTTTATCATGTTCCCTTTCACTATCTCTTGCTCTAATTCTACCTCCAATAAATATTTATAAAATTTAGAAATATTCTTTTTATTTGATCCTAATAAGATTTTATCTAAGTGTTGTAATTTGCTATAAATTCCAAACTCTTTGATATCTTGTCATAACGGAAATTAAAGACCAGCATTACACAGCTGTGCAAGACAAACATACATTCTGGAAAGCAAAGAAACACATTTGATGCAGGAATAAAAATTGCCTTCACCGTATACAGTGAACAGCATATTGATAATACAAATATCTTCTCAAAGCTTGCAGCTAGACTGCATCCAATTTAAAAACACTGTAATTTAAGAAATCATACAGAGAAATAATTGTAAGAGGAAACTCAAATTAGTCTATGGTAGCAAAAAAATTGAAACTCATAGCATCTTTTCCAACCAACACATTATATGAAAATGTTTGGTTGATACAAATGCAGAAAATGTCTTGTTCTGGCATTAAAAAGCAGTAAAAGGAGGCACAATAACAAATGTTAATTCATCTTAATAGATGACAAAATGTTTGAAGAAAAAGAATGGTGTTTTGTCCAGTTTGATGGTGATTTGAAACTAAAAATGGCATTGTAATGATAGAATAAAAATAATTCCATTATCAGCTCAGATATTTACTTCTAAAAATGAGACTATCCCAGAGCCTAGAAGTACAATATATAATTCCTTTGAGTCTGTCCCCAATCCCGAAAGAAAGTTTATGCATATACTCTGCTTTTCCAAATTATGAAGGATGTCATTAAATCAAAGCATCATAGAGAGGCAACTGCACAAACATCAAATCTTAGCAAAAACCGAACACAGAAGTCATAATTACTACAAGAAGGGGATTTCCATTTTGGTTCCTCACAAGAATATGAAAGTGGTTTGCACCATTTGCTTCAAAGGTATTTTTTGGATTTTCCAACCTAACATACAACTATGTTATCACATCCTATGTCTCGCATCCTCCTTTTAACCATCTTGACCTTGCTTTGAGGGGATCAGCCAAAGACCTATGTGTCCTGATCCTTCCTTCCTTCCTTCCTTCCTTCCTTCCTTCCCTCCCTTCTTTCCTTGCCTCCCTCCCTCCCTCTCTCCCTCTCTCCCTTCCTTCCTTCCTTCCTCCCCTCTTTCCCTCTCTCCCTCCAATAAGCCTTCCAAGAGCAATGGGCTATTTTACTTTTCTTCATTGCTTATGAAAAAGCCAGAATCAGGCCCTAGGAAACTGTTAGTAAAATTCTGAGACCGCCTAAAATATTACTGAATTGCTCCTAGAAAAAGCCAATCCAAGGACCATGGCAGTTCCCACCTTGGGATTCACATAGGCGATCAATCATTCACAGGTAAGGTCATAAAAGGCTGTTGCCTTCCCTGCTTCTTCTAAACATTCATTCCGGCGCTTAACCATCACTGGGTAGTAACGATAAACCCACCTTAGATGGGGAAAAAGCTGCCTTCCTTGTTTCTTCCTGGGGTTTCTGTAATGTATTGGAGGCTGCATTGGACATTTTAGGGCTGAAGAAAAAAGAGACAAGAAGTTTAGACCCTGTCCATGTCACCCATCTAAGTGCCAGGGCCTTTAATTAAGGAAACCTACATACAGGTAGTTCCAAAAATGCCTTTTCAGGAGGCAACTGGACTTTCTTGTTCTTTCTTTTGAAGACGTTTCGCTCCTCATCCAAGAAGCTTCTTCAGCTCTGACAGGATAGTGGGGAATGGAAGGATTTAGGTTCCTTGCAGACAGATGGTCATTTGCATCCCTTTTAGAGAGTCACTGAGGTCATGGAATCCTTCTATTCTCCACTATCCTGTCAGAGCTGAAGAAGCTTCTTGGATGAGAAGCGAAACATCTTCAAAAGACAAAACAAGAAAGTCCAAGTGCCTCCTGAAAAAGCATCTTTGGGACAACCATGACCTGGATGAGTGAGAATCTCTACAGCACGGGTCTCCAACCTTGGCTACTTTAAGCCTGGAGGACTTCAACTCCCAGAATTCCCCAGCCAGCAAAGTTGAAGTCCTCCAGGCTTAAAGTTGCCAAGGTTGGAGACCCCTGCTCTACAGACTAAGTACAGGTGGCCGTTGTCTTACAACAGTTCATTTAGTGACCATTCAAAGTTACAATGACACTGAATATTTTTATGACTATTTTTCACCCTCATGACCATTCAGATACCCATGGTCACATGATCAAAATTCAGATATTTGGCCACTGACTCCTATTTACGATGCTTGCAGTGCCCCGGGGTCATGTGATTACCTTTTGCAACTTTCTGACATACAAAGCCAATGGAGAAGCCAAACTCACTTAACAACCAACTTAATAATTGCAGTTATTCACGTAACAACTGTGCCACGTTTCCCCAAAAATACAACCTACCCCAAATGTAAGTCCTAGCTTGATTTTTTACACATGCACCCAATATATAAGTCCTACCACCCCAAAAATAAGCCCTAATTAAGACCCTTGCCCACTCCAGAGTGCACGGATAAAAATTAAGCTAGGGTGGGGGTGAGGGTGTGTGTGGAGCTACCCTACTGTTTCCCTTCGGACAGTTGCAGCCAGGCCTCACACACCCCGACACCTGCCTTGCTGGTCCATTTCTTCTGCAAATCTTTTGCAGCCAATAACAGGGCTCCAGATCGATCTCCAGAGCTCTGTTATTGCAGAGGCCTTCCGGAAAGCCTTGCCGGTCGAAGACATTCCTGAAGGCCTCTGATAGTGAAAAGGAGGCCGGGAGTGACGCACACAAGTGAGTCAGTGGACAACGTTCATTCCCCCAAAATAAGACCTGGTGTCTTTTTTGGTGGCAAAAAAATATAAGATCAGGTCTTATTTTGCGGGGAAACACAGGTACCTATACTGTCACATTCGTAAACTGTAATCCCTAATTACATCAACCTCTATTAAAACATAGGCGTGTCAGTGTTCATCTGTGTGCCTCCGAGTTTTCTGATTATAACGCTTTCTATAGCAGAAACTGTTCTTGAAAGCATGGCCAAGAGAAGGAAATCCAGCTCTTCAGTATCTACACATGAGAGCCGGCTTGGTGTAGTGTTTAAAGCATCAGGTTAGAAACCAGGAGACCAGGAGTTCTAGTCCTCCCTTAGGCACAAAGCCAGCTGGGTATCAGATGCAAATAATCAGGATGATATTGTTAGGAATAACAAGGTTACCTAACGTAGTTTGGGTAAAATAATATATATAAACTATGATAGTAAGTTTAACTATGTGTCACTTAAAACTGCAAAGCATGTAATTTGGGGTGCGGTTGTAAACCGCCATAAGAGGGAGCAAGAGAACCTGACAATTGCTGACTGGATTTGCTGGATTGCTGACGACTGCTGGTTTGCCTGGATTGCTGGTTTGCTAACTGCATGTTCCCTGAGTTGCTGAACATCGAAGGAAGAAAGGAGGTTTGACTTCTTCATATCTCTACTGCGAGGAGATATATTACTGGACTGATATTTGTAAGTTTACTGACCTCTTTTTTGACACTGGACTTTGCAACTGAATAATCCCCGGACAGACTGAATTAGTGAATGATATATGGACTGTTTTGACTATGCTAAAACTCTTACTGGAATAAACTATTTAACTAGCACAGTGTATCTGATTTACTGAGTGTAAGCTACAAAAACGTCTATCTCACATATTTTGCCTGCCTGCCTGCCTGAGGTGCAGATTCTGCTAGGGTGTATCCCTAACAGATATGTTAAGTTCTCAGAAGATTCACTGCTCAAGCCTACGCACAAGAATCTAGTCAGCTAACGGACCCATACTAAATTGGTGCTAGATAAGAATCACTGGAATTCAAGGGAGGCTGGACTTGGATCATTTGTGGCAATGTAATAATGCCAGACTGATAACTCTCTTAACTCCACCCCCAGTTTGGCCTCTTCTTCTATACTGGGTGATGTTGGGCCAGTCCCTCTCTCTCAGCCCTAGGAAGGCGGCAATGGCAGACCTTTTTTTTTTTTTGAAAAACCTTGAAAATGCAGGGACTCGCCCAGGCAATCTGCAGATGTCAACACTAACTCAAACACACAAATAAATAAAGTATCTACAATACAGGGCAACACCTAATGCTGTGAAGGTATTATTGTGTGCTCAAAAACAGGAAGCAGACGTGGCTACACAATGAGAACAGGAACTCCTGAAAAATAAATGTATAATAATCTAACCAAATGTATGCCAATCTTAGGGATAAAAAAAAGAGTCTCAACTGATCCATGTGCCTTTTAAAAGCATTTCAGTTATGCAGGCTTCTGCTTTTCATACCATACCTTAAAGACCTTTTACCTGAAGATAACTTTTCTCTTTCCACCCATGAAAAGAGAAGTCAATATAACTTGAGGGAGAAGCACAGGTCTTAAAAATAATAACCCAGCCCTCACCTCAAACAAAAGTAGCATGTACATGTACACACACACACACATACGATCCTGGACACATTTATTTCTGGTTTGAAAGATACCATGAAAAACTATCCCAGACTTTTTGAAGGAAGGAAGGAAGGAAGGAAGGAAGGAAGGAAAGAAAGAAAGAAAGAAAGAAAGAAAGAAAGAAAGAAAGAAAGAAAGAAAGAAAGAAAGAAAGAAAGATCTTTCACTTGTAAATCTGAGCTACCATCACATGCACCCTTTCTACAAAAAAAGGGACCGCTTCAGTTCTGGCTGGTGTGCACTGCTGATTGTCATTTTCATTTCTCCATGACAGTTTCTCAGCCAGTCTCGCAATCCCTTTCTCCCCCTCCCCCAGCATCAACCCCTTATCTGCCAGTTTCCCACAAGGAAACTCAATAAGGAAACCAGCAGGAAGCTGAAAGTCCCTTCAACTCCAACTGCTTTTTTGCCCTCCTGTGGTCATTCTGTTTATCGGTTTCGCAAAGGAAATCTCTCTGAAATGATGACCCAATGGGGCATGGGTCTAGTACCCATTATCTAGTACCCATTAGTCTTAAAATGTTACATTTTTCTGTAGCATTCTAATGGGCAAGGCAGCTTGATGGTGTAATGAGTAAGATGTAGGATTAAGGGAAACCCAGATTCCAATCCTGAAGACTTTAGGATAGTCACTCCCTCTTAGCTCAATCTATCTTATATGGTTGTAAATAGTGACTGGCTATTCCATTTTTCCTCCAAGAAATTCGAGGCATGTACAAGAAGTTTGTTTGGTGACCATTTGAAGATACAACAGCACTGAAAAAAGTCACTTATGAACATTTCTCACACTTACGACGCTTGCAGCATCCCCATGATCAGCTTATCAACATTCAGATGTTTGGCAACTGACTCATATTTATGACGGTTGTAGTGTCCCTTTTGCAACCTTCTGACCAGCAAATTCAAAACCAGATTCACTTAGCAACTGTGTTATTAACTTAACAACTGCAGTGATTCACTTAACCAACCATGGCAAGAACTGTTGTAAAACGGGGCACAACTCATTTAGCCACTGTCTTGTTTAACCAGAGAAATGTTGGGCTCGATTGTAGTCACAAATCAAGGACGACCTGTAAAGCCATGACATTGAACTGACAGAACCAGATGCACTTGTAAGGAAGCTGATTATGCAAGGAAATTAAAGAATAAATAAAACACGGGTGCAGGAAATGAATTAAAATAATTCTAAACTGGGAGTCCATGGTAAGTAATTTTCTAAACGAGTTTATATCTGATCATAAGTTATACAATCAGCAAATTTCATGAAATATCTTACCTCTGGTTAGATTTGGATTCCTCTTCCTTATCTTGTATGACACCCAACTGTTCCGATGACACAAAGATCTCTTTGTTGACATTGTTCACCCAGCTGCTTTTGGTATTTCCAGCCTTACTCTGACTCAGCTCAGCTAAAATATAAGATAAAGACAAAACAATGAGAGAAAATTAGCTTATGCTTTGTCTACTCATACACACAAAGTAGCCAATATACAGCTTGAACATTCAAGTTCCTTCTTTATTGACACTGAATATGAAACATGAACACCACTATTTTTATTACTCTCAATATATTCAAGATTCTAAATGCTAATTGATACTGATAGACAGGCAGGCAGGCAGGCAGATAAGTGGGCAGATAGATAGATGGGTAGGTAGATAGGTAGTAGGTAGATAGGCAGATAGGTAAGTAAATAAGCAGGTAGGTAGGCAGGCAGGCAGGCAGGAAGTAGGTAAGTAGATTCTCCACTTAGAGCCACTGATCGTGCTGGCTTGGAATTGGATTTGGACATGAGAGCTCCAAACATTTAGAGGGTAGCAGACTGGAGGAAAACTGATTCGAATCAGGACCATTAAAATCCCTTCCTCATTTTAACCATAAGAAAGTGTGTTCCTGATCGGAGATCTACCAAAACAAACATTTCTCCTCCTTCAAAAAGCCATGCTTATTTTATTTTTTTTCAAATCAACATATACCTATTGTCAAGGGCTTTCTTCTTATTGATGCCCGGATAATATCGGCTCCATGTATTTTCTCTCTGTGCCTCTTTGCCTTGGCTTCATAAAACCACTGCCCACTCATATTCTTGACTTGGACATCATCTTTTACCTTTTCAGGTAAATTCCTAGAAAAGTAATGAAAAATACAGTGGTTATTATATCGGGCACATGGGAGAAATCACAAAAAGCTTAAGTGTAATTCAGTAGAACTAGAGAATGAATGAATGAATGAATGAATGAATGAATGAATGAATGTATATTTGTCAATTGTGCCACTCTTGAAATTCCAGAACCAGGTCATATGTACCTTTTGTGCAAGGTCTGTCATAACTTTGAACAGGTACATACAACCTGATTCTGGAATTTAAAGGTTTTATGATGGTCATTAAGCAAGGACTATCTGCATGTTGCAACCAGAATAAGGTAAGCGTGAGAACAAGCAAATAATATATTTTAACTAATTTTTGAAGTATGTTTTAAGTTCCAGAGCAATCAAATAGTTGTTCTCTTTTCTTTGCCTATCCAATATGTTTCCATGAAGATATTGTTCAACTGGAATTGCCCAATACATACCGTGTTTCCCCCAAAATAAGACCCTGTCTTATGTTTTTTTTTCCACCAAAAAAGTCACCAGGTTTTATTTGGGGGGGACATCATCCACTGACTAGCCTCACTTGTACGTGTTGCCCCCAGCCTCCTTTTCGCTGTTAGAGCCCTTCAGGAACTTCTTCTGTGGCCAGCAAGGCTTTCCTGAAGGCCTCTGCAGCTGATAACAAGAGTTCTGGATCGATCCAGAGCTTTGTTATCAGCTGCAGAGGCCTTCTGGAAAGACTTGCCAGATTTGCCAGCTGCAGAAAAAAATGGGCCAGTAAGTCAGGTGTTGGGGTGTGCGAGGCCTGGCTACAACTGTCCCAAGTGTAAGTAGTTAGGGCAGCTCCACCCTTCAATCCTCACCCTAACTTAATTTTTACCTGTACACTCTGGATTGGGCAGGATCTTAATTAGGGCTTATTTTGGGGTCGGGCACATGTGTAAAAATCAAGCTAGGAGTTACTTTCAGGAAAGGTCATATTTTTGGGGAAACAAAACTTGTATTTTCATTTTTTTAAACCACCTCCTCTGTCTTACCACAATGTGGTTCTTTCTAGCTGCAGCTATGGAACACCCTTTGAATAAATATGACTGGTCAGAAGACAAAAATTCCACCTGTTAAAGCAATGTTTATTTTTACACTCCACCTGTTAATCGTAGCACTAAATCAGTTCTTAGAATGAGCAATGAAGAGGTCCAGGCTTTCTGAAAATTTAGATCATTTGCATGAGTGAGAATTCACACTCACTTTCTCCCTGCTATTGCTTAAGTTTCTTTTGAAAGGCAAAATGCTCTTAGCTTTAAAGGCGTGTTTTTGACATGACTGGAATTATATGGTTTAAGTTTGGGTATTACTGTGCTACAGTTGTTTTATTGTTAGTTACTCTCATTTATTCATGTCTAATTTTGTGTTAGCTGCTTAGACAAGCAAACTGCATGATCGGAAGCCATGTACTGTAAATCAAAGAAATGGAATGAATACATTTCAGATTGTATACAAGTGGAACTAGATATTTAACCAAAGCTGACAACAGGTTTTTTTTTTCCAATTAATGGCCATATTAGCCGGGGATGAAGAATCCATTCCTGATCGGCCCACCTCTAAAGCTCTTAAATGCACCCCACAAATGCTCCCCACAAATGCACACTATGTTGCAAAAGATTCCTGAAACAAGGGAACAGGCACTCAATTAGCTTTCATTAAGTTTCATTTCAATATATGATCACCGTAGCGAGATTATTACATGCAAGGAGATGGGAAGACTCAACACTACTGCTATGGAAATCGACAGATTTTGCTGAAATGGAGACGTTGAGTTCTTTGTTAGAGAAAAGGCATTAACTACATTTATTAATGATTGGAAACCTCTTATGGAAATTTTGTGTAAAAATTAAAAACGTGAACTTGTGATTTATGGTTTCTATGATTATACATAGGAGAATTCATAGAAAGAAGAGAGCTATCTATGATCAGGGGTGTGCTATCAGTTCACCCCGATTCGGGCAAACGCTTAGCTAACCTGTAGCTAATTCACCAGTTCGGTGAACCGGTAAATCCCACCTCTGACTGATCTCGCTGACCCCGCCCTGCCCCTCCCTGGACTCCCTATGCGGCCAATTTTGGATGCCAGGTAAGTACAGGGCCTGCACAGAGGCTCAGGAAGTGTGAAAAACCGGCCTCCCGGAGGCCCTGGGAGGCCAGAAACAGGCCCGTTTCCAGCCTCCAGAGGGCCTCCGGAGCCCAGGGGCGGCCATTTTCACCCTCCCAGAGGCTCCATAAAAGCCTCCAGAGCCCGGGGAGGGTGAAAACGCCCCCCGCCCCCTGCTATGTTGCAGGAGGCCAACTAGGCCACATCCACCATGGCCACACTCAACCAGTAACCGGGAAGAGAACTGGTTTTTTAATTTTTGCCCCCCCCCCCCCCCGGTTATGATCTAATTTACATTTTATTTGTACAGGTAGTCCTCGACCTACAACAGTTCACTTAGTGACTATTGGAAGCTACAACGGAACCGAGAAAAGTAACTTACGATCATCGCAGCATCCCCATGGTCAATGTGATCAAAATTCAGTTGCCTAGCAACTGGCTCATATTTATGATGGCTGCAATGTCCCAGGATCATGTGATCCCCTTTTGCGACTTTCTGACAAGCAATGAGAAGCCATATTCACTTAACAACCATCTTCCAACAAGCAAAGTCAGTCTGGCTCACTTAACACAATTCGCTTAAAGACTGCAGTGATTTGCTTAACAACTGTGGCAAGGAAAGGTGGCAAAAATTCAATTCTAACAAGGAAGAACAATACAGTTCTTCCTTATTAGAGGAAGAATTTGTTGTCAACTTAGGACAACAATTGGGACCAGTGTTTCCATTGCTAACAAGTCAGCTGTTAAGCAAGTTGCACCCGACATTGAGACCTTTTCTTTGCCACAATTGTTAAGCAAATCACTGCAGTCATTAAGCGAATTGTGTTAAGTGAGCCAGACTGACTTTGATTGTTGGAAGATGGTTGGGAAATTCGCAAAAGCCAACCACATGACCCCAGGATGTTGCAACCATCCTAAATGCATGTTGGTTGCCAAGTGCCCAAATTCGGATCACAGACTTTGTTGTAAGTCACTTTATTCAGTGCTGTTGTAACTCTGAATGGTCACTAAATGAATCGTTTTAAGTAGTCAAGAACTACCTGTAGAATATAGCTGAAAAACAGTACAGTGCATAGAAAGCCCAACTAAGGCCAAACAGAGACAAGTCACTAATCAAGAATACATATTAATTACTTGAACATTTAGGGGCATTGTGAGAAGATGGTTTAATGGCTAAATTTCTGCTTTCCTTTTCCAGGCAGAAGGAGCCAAGAAGAAATTTAAAACTCTGGCAACATATCACAGACTGATCCAATAAGAAGCAGAACTGAGATCTCCTGACTCGTACATTACAGCTCACTTGGCCACAGGAATTTTCCTTTACCAATTCTTCGGAAAGGGAAAACAAGCTCTCCGTCTGTAACTTTTCTGCTAGCCATCCAATAATCCCAGTAACTTCTCACGCATGAAGATTTAGAGCTTATTTTCACCCTTGCCTTCCTAAAGAATGGGAACCCAGCCCAGCTGAGTAATACTATAAGCAAACATACAAGTTGACTTCCCTCTCCTTCGCATACTGCTTGAAGATAAAGTTTTCCCCTGTCCAGTCGTGACCAACTCTATGGGATGGTGCTCATCTCCATTTCCTAGCCAAGGGAGTCAGCGTTGTCCGAAGAAACTTCCATGGTCATGTGGCCAGCATGACTATATGCCAAGGCGCACGGAATGCTGTTACCTTCCTACCAAAGTGGTACCTATTGATCTACTCGCATTTGCATGCTTTCGAACTGCTAGCTGGACAGGAGCTGGGCCAAGAATGGGAGCTCACCCTGTCACATGGCACGGGTCTCAAATCTGAACTGTCAGTTTGACAGCTGTCAACCGCTGAGTCATGCTGCTTAAGGAAGGAACGATTATGCCCAAAGTACAAAATGCCACCAGGCCTTATGCGACTTCCTGACCTTGGTCAGTGAGGCAGATGGATGGCTTTAAAATTAGACAGACAGACAGAGAGAGAGACAGAGACAGACAGACAGATGATAGATTTTGGAGGGGTGGATGGATGGATGGATAGATGGAAGGAGGGAGGGAGGGAGGGAAGAAGGAAGGAAGGAAGGAAGGGAGGGAGGGAGGAAGGAAGGAAGGAAGGAAGATGTTTAGGTAGTTATAGAGGAAGGGAGGGAAGTAGAAAGATAGTTGGATGGATGTGTGGGTAGATAGGTAGGTAGAATGACAGACAGACAGACAGGTGATCCAAAATTGTTCTTCCTTTTCTTAGATAATATAACAAGCAGTTTTTTTGCTGTGCTTCAGAGTCAGAAACCGGAACAAATTGGTGATGTCCCTATTTTTTGGCAAATGATTACCTCTGCCACCTAGTCACAACTCTCTGGATTACCCTATTTGTAGCTGGATCCACAAGGAGGACAAAGATAAGCCCTAAAGATAAGCCCCGCAGATACAGATTGAGAGTTGTGCATCAACCGGGTTATTGTTCTTTTCAGTTTACATGCTTAGATAAGCCAACTTGCAGAGTTTAAAACTGAAAAAGTAAAACGCACACACAAGCACACAAACGCATTTGCTATTTTAAAGGTTTCTGCCACCAAAGAAAACCTAGAAAAACAGCAGAGGGTGTTCTCCTAGTGTAAACACAACCACAACGCTTCACTTTCTCAGACTGCATGGTGCCAGTGGCCTTGGTGGTAAGAGTCCAAAAGTGCCAGTTTATTTTTAACCTTTCCTTAAACCCCACCGGGTATCCGTATACTGTTATTACATCCACAAACCGAGTATGAGTATTCCAGACCCACTGGCTGAATTTACAAGTTTTTCCCTCTGTTTTTATCAGCTCACGGATCAGCCTGGGATATGTTGCCAGAGGTTTATTAGATCTTGTGCAAGGGCTAAAATGTAGTTAGCTATGTGGCTGTTAACTCGTCTCTCAGCCAAAAGGTCCTAAGAATGGAATGCAGACAAATGCCGTGGCCAAGCAAGGAAACTCTAAAACCACAATCCAAAAGAAAAACAAGCAAGAAGAGATGTCATGCACTTTATCTAGATGTCATACACTTTATCTAGAGACATAACTTTCCTAGAAACCAAATTCTCCATTAGAGGACCCCTAGAACAGGGGTCCCCAACCTGTGTGCCACAGCCCACTACCGGGTCACAGCCTATTTGCAAGTGGGCAGGGGTGAGATTCAATTTTTTTAACAACCGGTTCTGTGGGCATGGCTTAATTGGTGGGCATGGCTTGGTGGTCATGTGACTGGCTGGGCGTGGCCAACTCAACATCACTCACTTCGAGGCACGCATCTCCTTGCCTGGCCTCTCATGACTGTGGGGATGCTGCAATAGTCATAAGTGTGAAAAATGGTTATAAGTAACTTTTTTTCAGTGCCATTGTAACTTTGAATGGTCACTCCACACAAGCAAAGTACCAGCAAAGGAGGGGAAAAAAACTCCAGAGAAGTTTCTGAGATGGGAAGTCTAGTCCTGCCAAGAATGTAATAAGGGTTAATGAAGAGGCAGTTTCTGTAAGCAACCCCAGAATGTTTCCTTCCTGCCTTCCTTACAGGATTAAGCCAGTAATTTCTTCTAACAACCGGTTCTCCGAACTGCTTAGAATGTTAACAACCGGTTCTAGCAAATAGGTGTGAACTTGTAGAATCCCACCCCTGCAAGTGAGCCATGTGAGAGCCTGGCTTGTATACACACATCTGTACATGCAAGCACTGCTCCACTAGCACAAGTGTTGCGGGACTCATAGCCAGAGGTGGTATTCAGCAGGTTCTAACCAGTTCTGGAGAACCAATAGCGAATTTTTTGAGTAGTTCAGACAACCAGCAAAAGCCACCTCTGACTGGCCCCGCCCCCATCTCTTCTCTGCCTCCCGAGTCCCAGTTGATCTTCTTTTGTTGCCCTGCATGGGAGAACAGAGCTGGAAAGCAGGTTAGTGGGGTGGGGAGTGAATGGGATTTTGCAATATCCTTCCCCTGTCACACCCACCAAGCCTTGCCCACCAAGCCACACCCACAGAAGCAGTAGTAAAAAAAAATTGAATCCCACCACTACATGAAATTTTTTTTTTTGGAATCTCACCTTAGCATCGCAGGCACTCGGAGCCTAACTCAGAAAAGTATTGAAGACACTCGGCCCCACTGACGTGAGTGTCGTGGGCATTCAGCCCACCTCACGTGAGCGTTGCAGGCACTTGGAGCCTAACTCACGCAAGTGTCACAGTCAGCCTGCGCCACTCATCCGAGTGTTGCCGGAGCTTGGAGCCTAACTCGCACAAGCGTTGCACGCAATCAGCCCCATTCGCATGAGTATAGTGGGCGTTCAGAGGCTCACTTACACAAGCATCGCGGGCACTTGGCCCCACTCGCGCCAATGTGGTGAGCACAATGTGTGGTCGCAGGTGCTCTCGGCCCAGCTCACTTGTGCGTCTGCATGTGCACGTGCTACTACCCTTCCCACACAACCATCCCCTCTCCCCCGCCCCCACAGCAGCCAACCTGGAAAACACTCTGTTCTAGAATAGGGTACCCCAAATCCCAGTTGGTGGACTTATCTGCAGCATGCCAGAAACTGGGCCGCACAAACAAGTGAAGCCCCATCCATGGGATGCAGACAACACACAAAGCCACATTCCCTCCAGCCTGCGGAAAAGCATCTCTCCATGGAACCGGTCCCTGGTGCCCAAAAGATGGAGGGTTGCTGCTCTAGAACAGGGATTCTCAAATCTTGGCAACTTGAAGACGCATGGACTTCAACTCCCAGAATTCTCCAGCCAACAATGTTGATTGGGGAATTCTGGGAGTTGAAGTTCATGCGTCTTCAAGTTGCCGATATCAAACACTCCCGAACTAGAATGTCCTATTACAAGAGGTGGGGAAAAGAAGTCCAGATGCTTTCAGAAACAGTTCTCAAACTTTATTTGAGAAACTTTTTTTTGTTCCTTATGTTATCCGTCTAGTAATCTTGCAAGATTCGTTTTTCTTGCTATGTACATGTCTACATCCGAACTAGACTGTGTTGTTTCTCCGTGTCATATAATATATGTGGGTATATGCATAATTTTGTATGGATGTATTTATTTATTTTGTCATATTTATGTACGATATATTGGAAGTGCAATATACATGCAACAAAATTTCATTTTGTGGTGTGCCAATTAGTGTACTTTCAAAGGGACAATAAATTTATTCTAAGTGAATGTCAGGGAATTGCGCAGCCAGTGTCTGTAAGAAATGGGAGACACTGAAAGGAACTTGTAGTTTTATATAAATATAATTGCAGTAAATAAGGTGGTCGAGCACTTCACTGCATTGTGAGGTAAAGCACCAGGTAAACCAGAGTAGCATACAGAAAAAAAAGGCGGGGAAAAAGGGAAACTCCAGTAATGGAGCACCCACAACCTTGGCAGGCAAGTTGTTCCACTAATTAATTAATTAATGTCTTGCAACAGGTGAACTATCCAAATCTCCCCATGCAAGCAGGGGTGGGGTTCTACCGGTTCACACCTATTTGCTAGAACCGGTTGTTAACATCCTAAGCAGTTCAGAAAATCGGTTGTTAGAAGAAATTACTGGGCTAGTCCTGTAAGGAAGGCAGGAAGGAAACATTCTGGTGTTGCTTACAGAAACGGCCTCTCCCTTAACCCTTATTACATTCTTGGCAGGACTAGACTTCCTGTCTCTGGAACTTCTCTGGAGTTATTTTTCCCTCCTTTGGTGATACTTTGCTTATGTGGAGTGACCATTCAAAGTTACAATGGCACTGAAAAAAGTGACTTATGACCATTTTCACACTTACGATTGTTGCAGCATCCCCACATCATGAGAGACCAGGTGAGGAGATGTGTGCCTCGATGTGAGTGATATTGAGTTGGCCACGCCCAGCCAATAACATGACCACCAAGTCTCACCCATCAACTAAGCTATGCTCACAGAACCGGTAGTTAAAAAATTTGAATCCCACCCCTGCATGCATGGTCTTCCCCAGGGAAGGCATAATGATTCAAAAGGGGAAATATTTTCATTGTTCTCCTAAAAGGTCTAACTATTCATAAGCCTGGAACAAAGCCCAAACCCTCTTCATAAACAGTGATTAATTCAGCAACTCTGAACAAAGGTAACAGTTGAGCAATCTCTACCCGTTCATGTCTTTGATTCAAGCCAATTTGTACAAGTGTGCAATTATTTGAGGCCCTTACCTGATTCTCTCCTCTTCGGCCTTCTTTAAGTCTGCATCCCGCTGCAACACTCTCAGAATTGCCTCCTGCTCTTCATCTGTAAGGAAGCTCAAATCGATCATCTTGTTGGCTTACAGCCAAGTAGGAAAAGAAGTCCAAAAATCTTCACTGGCAAGGCCAGCACTAGTAGGTCTACCAAGTCACAGCAAACAGAGCTGTTTTTTTTTAAAGAAAATCTAATTTCTGTTGCAGGGCTTGAGCAAGGTATACATCAATAGCCAAGAGTCTCTTAAGTGGAGTTCACCTTCCTGGATGATGCTCATCATACAGATGTTACGGGAAGGTGTTTATATCAAGAAGGTCTTCATCTACAGGAGGAGAGGAAGAGAAATATTCAATTCAAATAGAAGAAAAGATGGGAGGAAGGAGGTCAAATTGATATGGTGAGATTCTGTTATCACAACAGAACCAACCGGAGATTCTCAGTCCTCCAGGTCAGGGGTCACCAAATGTTTGGACCTCAAGGACCACCAAATTCATAATTTTAAATCCCGCGGACCAATAATATGAATTTTGACTGACATTGGCTACAGGGAAAAAGTCTTCAGGAAAATTCCCCACCTCGTTTTCCTACCAATTGATCATTCTTTATTTGGGTTCACAGGATACCGTCTCCAGCTCCGTTCTCAGGGGGAGAGAGAGAGAGAGACTTTTGGTTTCCTGCAAGGAAAGCAGCAGAAACAGCAGAAGTCTTTCTTTCTCTCCCCCAAGCTCCTCCAGAAATGAGTCTTTGCCGGCACAGCCTCTTGGAGCAGGATGCCTTGCCAGGGTCCCAAAGACTCATTTCTGGAGGAGTTTGGGGGAGAGAAAGAAAGACTTTTGCTGCTTTCCTTGCATGCAGCCAAAAGCAGAAGAAAGAAGCTGAAAAAAGCAGCCTGGTAACCAGGCGAGGCACATGGGGCGAGTGGGGCAAGTTCCCCCCCCGCCCTTTCCCCCCCCGCCCTTTCCCCCCTCCCTCTCACTACCTCGTGTTGTTTGCAATGTAAGTGAAGCAAGCCTTGTGTTCCTGCAGGCCATGTGGGTGGTGCAGCCTTGTATTCCCGTGCAGCCTGGATTAATTGCTTTGGGGGTGACATTTCTCTGCAGACCACCAAAATTTTCTTGCGGGCCATCAAGTGGTCCCTGGCCCACTGGTTGGCAACCACTGCTCTAGGTCACGGTTGTCCCAAAGGTGCTTTTTTCAAGAGGCAACTGGACTTTCTGGTTTTTCTCTGAAGACGTTTCGCTTCTCATCCAAGAAGTTTCTGGATGTGAAGTGAAATGTCTTCAAAGAAAAACCAGAAAGTCCAGTTGCCTCTTGAAAAAAAAGCACTTTTGTGGAACAAACTGTGCAGAACAAAGTTTAGTACAATCAGTAACCAGTACAAAAAAAAGAGAGAAAAAATCCAGCAAAATATACATCTACATATGGGAAACTGAATGCAAGTAGTTCTCGGCATACAACAGTTCGTTTAGTGACTGTCCGAAGTTACAACGTCACTGAAAAATGTGGCTTATACCGTTTTTTTCAGTTACAACCTTTGCAGCATCCCACACAATCCTGTGATCAAAATTCAGATGCTTAGCAATTTGGTTCACATTTATGACCGTTGCTGTGTCCCAAGGTCATGTGATTCCATTTTACAACCTTCTCACACTTATCAACTGCAGTGATTCACTTAGCAACTGTGGCAAGAAGAGTCGTAAAAGGGGGTAAAACTCACTTAACAAATGTCTCACTTAACCACGAAAAGTTTGGGCTCAATTGTGGTCATAAGCTGAGGACTACCTATATATAGGTGAGAGGTCCTTGGTACGTTTCATTACTATACTAGGTAACATCATCACTGCTAGCGTTAGCATTGATGATGTTACCTAGTTTTGGTACTGAAAAGTCTGCAAGAAAACTACCAAGCTCAGAGAGCACCAAGGATTCCTCATTTCAACCCTGAGCTTATAGTCCCTTATAGTGGACTATAGAAGGAAAAGATCAGACATCCAGCCCTTGCTTATCAATGGAGACCAAGTGGAGCAAGTGGCCAATTTCTGGGTGTTACCCTAAAAGAGGACCTGACCTGGGGTGGCTCACATTGCAACACTGGTCAAAAGGGCTCAGCAGAGATCATACTTCCTGAGACTTCTCAGGAAACAACAACTGAATGAAAAACTGCTGGTGACCTTCTACCACTGCACCACAGAGTTTCTTAACTTCCTGCACCTCTGTATGGTTTGCTAATTGCACAATGGCAGATAGGACAGCAGTCCAGAGGGTTAATGTCATTGCCCAGAGGATCATTAGTTGCCTTCTCCCCTCTTTGGAAGAGCTTTATAGCTCCCACTGCCTTAAGAAAGTTCAAAACATTCTCAAATATCCATCTCATCCTGGGCACCCTTTTTTTGATCTATTACCATCTGGCAGATGGTACAGGATAATAAAAACAAGGATAAATGGGCTGAAAAAGAGCTTCTATCCCAGGGCAGTAGCTCTGTTGAATTCTACTGTATAGTGCAGTGTTGGTGCAGTGTTGGGGGTTTGGGTTCTATGTGTGGAGTGTGAAGGATGTGTGTTTGTGTTTATTTTCATGGTCATGATATGCACTGAAGATGGTGTTTGATTTCATTGTATGAGGTGCAATGACAATTAAGTAAACTAAACTAAGCAACAAATATTCTCCTTTATTGGAATATATAGGTAAATTCCAGATGGCATAAAATTATGAACGTAAAATCTGTAAAACTGTTGAGCTGATCTAGTTAATTAAACATATAAATTATCTATAAAACTTTATCTGCTTTATTTGAAACTTTACAGCCTATGGATCTGTACATATTAAAATATCAGTAAGAAGAAATGAAATGGAGGAAGTAGGGTAGATTACCTGATGGTACACAATATTAAAGCAGGATGAATTGTAAATGTTTGCCTTGCTATGATTCATCCTATCTTTTTAGCCATGACGTGTTTACGGTTTTGTATGATTTTAGAGCAAAATCTCACCATTTGTGTCAAAAAAAAAACATTGATTGATTGATTTGATTTGTCAATCGCTTACAAGATAATAGATATAAGTATAAACATGAGTAAGAATACAAGAAATAGGTACAAATAAATGGGGACTATAGGACAGGAAGGGTCGGCATAATGTGTCAAAATTGGGTGTGCCCTTCCAACAACTGGGGAACGGAAAATTATTTCAAAGAAGAACATCGAAGCACCCACCCTCTCAGATCTCAGCTAGTATGTACATTTTCAATATGACCATTAAGAAGAAAGTAATGTCACCTCAAAGTCGAAGAAAGTTACGATGATAGTCAGCTCTTAGCAGACCACAGGCTACTTCATGACATCTGAAAAAAATAAGATTTTCATCCATAAAATTTCCTCTGTAATATGCCCGTAACTCTGAATTGACGCAGGATTCTTTACTGTTTATGCTACCAACCCTTAATATGGTTCATCCTCTGGAAAAAAAAAAAACACCTTTTGGTTGCAACCATGAAGACGTACAACGTAGACTTGCATTCCATTTATTCTGGGTGGAATGAAAGAGTATTAGAAGCATGGTATCATTTATAAATAACACAACACAGAACTTTGTGTTGCGAGCTCCCACTGTCATAAACCACATCCTTATGGACTTCCGCAATGCTAAGAACATATATAGCTCAGCTATTAGTATGTACACTTTTAGCACATCCATGTAAGGGAAGACCCATGTCACTGGTTGCTCTCAGAGTCAAGGAGAACCACACAGTTCAGGAAAAGGCAGAAGGTGTCCCAAATTCCACTTTCCTTATGGTTAATAAGGATTTTTTTGATTGGTTAGTTAGTTGGTTGATTCTCCATTTCCTTCTCCTTTTTGGTAGCTTTGATTATGTTTAGTAATTAGATTATGTGCCATCAAATCAGCATTCATGCCTAGCACTCTACAATTTTTGTTCACAGTAACCTAACCCCAATCTAGCTTTTTAGTTGTTTCCCAAAGATATGAATAAGGATCTCCAAAGCACCTGAAAACAGGACAAGAAGTAATGGATGGAAACTAATCAAGGAAAGATCCAACCTGTAAATAAGGAGGAATTTCCTAACAGAGAGAATTCTATTGCTAGAATAGAATAGAATAGAATAGAATAGAATAGAATAGAATAGAATAGAATAGAATAGAGTTGGAAGGGACCTTGGAGGTCTTCTAGTCCAACCCCCTGCTTAGGCAGGAAACCCTGTATCATTTCAGACAAGTGGTGATCTAATCTTTTCTTAAAAACTTCCAGTGTTGGCTTCCTCCAGAAGTTGTGGATACCCCATCACAGGAGGTTTTAAAAAGAGCTTGGATAGGGTCTTCTGCTTGAGCAGGGTGGGGGGGGGGGGGTTGGACTGGATGACCTCCGAGCTCCCTTCTGTTATTCTGTTACTATAATATAAACACTAAGGTCACTCTAGTCAACTCATTGTTTTGTTACAGCAGAATTCAGCTCCAAATTGGTTTGGGTGTGCCCAGTTAGAGTTCAAGTAACCCCCATCTATGTTGGAATTTTAAATACATTAACTTCCACACCGCCTGCTAATTGGTGCTGAACATTTCTCTTCTCTGTAAATAATATTTTGTATTGGAAAGAATGGCAGGAAATAGGTTGGCTGTTGATCAAGTCACTGCAGATAAGGCATTAAGAGGAGGCAGGAAACCATGAGATTCTGGTCAACTGACACCCTTAAGACAGACTAATGGCTGAAAAATTGTATAAGAAACCCTCCTTTGTTTATAAAGTATTAATATGTCAGTTAGAAGATCATTCTGGGGTCATTAACATCAATATATATATATAAAAGCGAAATACCACTCACACATCATCACAAAATATCCAGAACCGTAAAGCCTACAAACTTGAAATTTGGCACGTATGTTCCTCTTGACTTCTAGGCGCTCACTAAGAAAGGATTTTTCGAAATGACCATCAGAGCATTAGTATTTCGTATATTATTATTAACATGCTCTGATGCTAAGGAGTTCTACTCCCCCTCCCCACCTGAAAAGAAATCTCTTCCAAATGCAAAACACAAGCAGAGGAGAGGAATTTCAGTTTCAGTTTGACAGCACCAAGCAGCTTTAGTACAGAACAGTTCAGCTAAGCTACACCCAGGCTCCTTGCTGTCTCCTTGCTCACACAGCAAATACTGTTTCAGTTTCCAAACAGCCCTCAACTCTCTCACACACTGACAGGACACTAGCCAAATTAATACTGATGTATTATGATCTAAATTTTTACAGATTTATTTTAGGATCATAAAAAAAGGGAAACTTTTACTAACCTTCTCAGTTTTAGGGGTTTT